GAGGGGCTGGGTGGGGAGGGGAGGGTGGGGAGGGGCTGGGTGGGGAGGGGAGGGTGGGGAGGGGCTGGTCACCCCGTGGTGCCCTTATAAAACTCAACGTTTAACCTACTCACGCCGGCTTGTGCCCGCCCTCACAGTCGGGCATATTTGCGGAATACACCACGTGGTGGTGCCGTTGACCCTGGCCATTGACCGAGCAACCCAACCTTCCTACCAGCTCCCTCCGCAGGAGAATGTGTTTTGACTTCTTCACCACGATGGTCCAGTACGGGTCGGTTAAGGTGGAGAGCACCGTCGTGGGAGTGTAGTGCACCACAACAATGGAGTCTGCTGCACTGCGCTTTATGCACGTATTTTGAACTTCTTTCGCACCGTACCTAGCCTACCGGCCTCATCGGAGGTGCGGAGGGAGAAGAAACTAAACACAAAAAGCAGTTCAAAATAAATGAGTTTTCAATCGAATTTTTAAAGGGGCCGTCCGTAAATGACGTCACGCGCCTGTGGGGGGGGGGGGGGGGCAGACATTTGTGACGAGAGGGGGGGGGGTTGAGATATGTGAGGTCACATCAAATGCGCAACTTTAAATAAATATAGAATTGTTATAACACTCCTACAACATCAGAGTGCAGCGTCACATTAAATACACACTACAATGACAATAGTTTAAAGCGATTTGAAGCATGTTTTATTTTCAATATGGAAATGTGTTTTTTTTTGGGGGGGGGGGGGGGGTAGAGCGTTGTGACGTCATATTTGAGGGGTGGTCGGACTTTTTGTGACGCCGTGTGACGAAGGGGGGGGGGGGGGTTCAAAAATCGTCCAAAATCGCGTGACGTCATTTATGGACGGCCCCAAAGTGCATAACATAGCTCCAGTGGCTTGCTAATGTCGGTAGGAAGAGCGTTCACCACATATCCTTGCAGTCAATAGGCTACAACACCTGTCATGCGTCGTGTTCACACATCGAGCACTAATCAATCTCAACCCCACATGGTTTGTGAGAACTCGTGACATCGGGCGGTGTTCTGGGTGGAGTTTTCATTGACGAAAAAATGGGCGACTTTATGGAAAAGTCTGTGCGGAGAAGATCGGAAAGATTCGCGTTGGTTGAAGTAACGAGAGGGAGAATGTCAGCGTACTTAATAGTTGGCAGCCAGAAAAGACACGAATACAATGAAATAATCCAATAAATGGTGGAGAAACCCGGGTGGTCGAGAGAGAGAGGAGTGAGACTGGCGTTACCCAGCATGCATAGATGTGTCGCGGATTTATTTGCATAGAAGGAAAGGACAATTTAATGCTATGGATTTTTGTTTGAAAGAGACACTCCCAATATTTTGAGTTTGTACTGAATCAATGTCGTTGAAATTATGCACTCTCAGAAGGCCGCGCGGCTGATGGGTTGCGTATGAAATATATATTTTTGATGTGAAGGAGACATTGTCCGCTTTTCTATTCTGTTGTGTCAGAATAAGAATATTTATACAGGAGGAATCCGATGAGCTATACAGCTCTTTTTCACAGATGTCCAGCCGGGGCAGGTCAGAACGTTACAACTTATTGGCCGTGTCGGGTGGTGGAGGGTTACGACACATTTATAAATAATCGCGATCTAACCCAAACACCTTTATTATGGATAGAAACAATACAAAGAAACGATAGGCGTTAAAAGTATAGGAAAGGTAAACAAATCACTTATATACAAATACAACTATATTTTTTAATCTTACCAGGTAAAGCCCACTGAGCTTTTTTTAAAAAAGTTACTTGGCCACAAATTGTACTCACCGCAGAGAACTGTAGCGACACGACCACCGCACTCTACGATAGCCAGCGCCAAACTGCCACACGCCCTCTCGCATGACCTTGTGGGAGCCTCTGTACCGATAAAGTTATCTAAGTTAAAATTTTCTTCCGATTCCGTTCCGATGATGTACGCGGTATGTTAATTGTGCTTTGTGCACCACTGCTGGTGCAGAGTCTCCAGATACATTGTTTTAATTATAAACAGTCTGAGTGGTGAGTTAATCAACATAGCTGATGAACTCTCCTTCAGGAAGCTCGCTGCCTCCATAGGTGAGCTGCTCACACGCATAATCTGGGCGTGAGCCGCCAACCCCACATCCACTTTTATGACAGTTTCATCTGGATAAGTGGACTTTTTTTGTGTTCCACACCGGGTTATCTTTCTTTCAAAGGAGAATGTTGTACTTCGGTTTCAGAGATTAAGGATTAGGTTAAATGCCCTCCAGCCATAGTTTTTTTTATTGTTAATAAACTAAAGGAAAATGGATTTCAGAATATGACTCAATACCTCTCGCGCCAAACCCGTTCAACCTTACCCACTGGGAGTTGCGAAAGCGACCGGGATGCTGCCACCCCAATCACAGACGATGAAAACGCATGGATGCTATTCCATATTTAGTATCTTAAATCGTTTTTTTTGGCAGGTAAGATCCACTGAGCTACGATATACTGTAGCTCTTTTTCAGAAACAAACTGACAGCTCAACGAAGTGGCTTATCATCATGTGGAAATGTATCGCCAAATACTCTAAAACGCAGGTTAATTCTCTAAATGTGGAGGGGAAAACCCGGAGGAGCCGGAGAAAACAATCTCCCTCAATGACGCTCGTGATTATTTTGAGTTGTGCAAAGTTTGGGGTCGTTCAAAAAAGTTTCAATTTGTATTTTGTGGAGCAAGGTGAGGACTCCAGGATGAGTTTGTAAGAGCGTCCTGGTTCGCCAACATGAATAGAGCAAAATGACAAATACTGATACGCAAATTGCGCAAATGAAACGCATGGAAATCGGTACAAAAACAACCGTCACGTGAGAAATCGAAAATACCGTGCACTAACATCAGGAGAATACGCTTTTGCTATCGAGAGCCGTCTTGCAGAAATTACTTTTGGTGACGCTGCTGCGTTGGCATTGGTGTAACAAGCATGGTTAGCAAAAATAAACCCTCAGCACATTCGTCAATAACACTCCCCTCAGCAGAAAAAAAAACATAAGAGGCGACGTTTCGGGCAGTGGTCCTTCTTCATAGCACACAAATATCGAGGATAGAGTGGATAATTCGAGTTGGTGACGGGCAATTATATACACCGTGGGATCTCATGAGAATTTAAGTTTTCTGTCCAGTAAAGTCACGTGTAGAACGTAAAGAAATTAAATAATAGAGTACGACGTTTCGATTGCAACACAAGCAACCGTCATCAGGTAGAACTACATTTGAGAGAGAGACAAAACACAGACACGGAGACACACAGACAGACACACAAGCAGAGAGAGAGAGAGACAACAGTTCTACCTGATAACGGTTGCTTGTGTTGCAATCGAAACGTCGTACTCTATTGTTTAATTCATTTTCTTTCCACACGTGACTTTACCGAAAGACCCAAAGAGACTGGATTCCTCAAGTCACGAAAGCTTCACATCAAGTTTTTTTCTGTCCAGTTTTTTTATTGACATTAATAGTTTTACTAATAGCAGCTGTTGAGCAACAGACAAATCCTTCAATACTCACAAGGTATTTTACTCGTAAATAAATACATTTACATTAAAGAATATATATTTAATGTTGCTGGTACATTGCATTTTGGGAAGATTGGTTCTTGTGAGTGCAAGGCTCAGTAATTGCATTTTAGACGTTGATTCTGCACAGTCGGATTAAAACACGTATTATGAAAGACAATGTGTCATTTAGCATGATAAGACGCACACCCAACATTTGCTTTAAAATGCAGGTACAATACAATGCGCATGATAAGCCGGTGATAGCCACACCACTCATGCCCACCGTTCCTATGATCACTGTTACATTGTTTCGATTTAAAGCTTTCGTGACCGCAGGGATTCATCTTCCTAGTTCTTAAAGTCACGTAGAAGGGAAATAATAAAATAATAAAAATAAAACAATGAAATGAAATTCCAACGACGTTTCGGCCACGACACAAGCAGCCGTCCTCAGGTGTTACATTGTTTTTATAGCTTGATTTTTGGTGATTTCGAAAACGTTTTTGTTTAGCCATATTTGTTTGTTGTAGTACAGAGCTAGACTGATGACTTTAATCCAAATTGTCTTATGGTTGTTATTGTTTGATTTGCATCCCACTGGGATTTTTGCACACAGCGCTGACATACGGTGCTTTTTCTGGAAGACTTTGCTGGTTTTTCCTGGATTTTTGTGTTTGCGCGTAGTCACTTTAAGGCGTGTCTTGTTCATGTTTGTGTTTGTTGCGGTTGCATCCGATTCAAGAGCCGAATGGCTCACAGGGCTATACCTAATAAATGAAATCAAAACTGAAATCATAAAATGGAAAAGTCCATCCGAATCCCGTCACTTCCACCCCTCGGCTTAACCATGGAATGGGAACGTCCACCCACCCACCCTGCCCAGCCCCCAGCGGGAGTAGCCCCGCCCCTTCTCCTCGCGGTTACCATGGTGACGGGGGGGGCTTGGGCCATGGGCGTTTGGGCCACGGCCATTTTACTAGAGGAAAAGTTGTACGGGGTGTGTGGGGGGGGGGAGATTTGGCTGCTTTAAATTTGCGCACGGTAAACCAATTAGTTGAGTTGTTATTTTTGGCCGGGTCTCTTTTGAAAAATTAGTTAATATCTCGATGGGCTTTACCTCGTAACATAAAAAGTTTATATTTAGTGAGTTTTGCTTAGCTTTCCTGTACTTTGACACTCATATCGTGTTTTTGTATCGTTTGTTGTAACTTTCTGCCCCGCCCCGTACTGGACATCTGAGAAAAAGAGCTTCATAGCTCATCGGATTCCTCCTGCAAGTCTAAATAACAAAACACAAACCTCGATTATGACGGCGTACCAACCTCGCCCCCCCCCCATCCCCTACGTAAGATGGCGGCGAGGAGTCGAGCGCGTGACGTCACCGCCCACCCGTGCAGAGCATTCCTCGCGGGCAAGAGGCGCGGCGCGGCGGGGCGGCCCTCCCTCACCCTCCTCCCTCACCCTCCTCCCTCACCCTCCCACTCCTCCCCCTCCCACTCCTCCCCCTGTGCTGCTGCTGCTGCGCTCATTCTCGCCGCCTTCAGCGCCACCAGCGCACGGACGAAACAGCCCCGCCAGCAGCAGCAGCGCGCGCTCGTGTGTGTGTGCGCACCCCCTCTCTCAGGTAAAGGCCACCGCGCCGACATCGCTCGCTGGCCTTGCCCAGGGTCGTCGGGGCAGTCGGGGTGCGAGGCTTTGAGGCTCGCGACCCGTTCGTTCATTCGCGACTCGCTCACGATTCGTCGCTGGCAATACTCGCTCACGGGTCGCTCGCCACCACATTCTGGACGTCTGTGAAAAAGCGCTTCTTAGCTCATCGGATTCTTCCCCCCCCCCCCACCCCGATAAACACGGGTTCTGATTCACTCAATCATTCACTCGCCTCTCTCCGCTCTTTCAATCCTCGCTCACGACTCCTCACCGCTCACTGCTCACCACAAATTCACCGCTCACCACTGATTCACTCACCAGTGACTCCAAACTACTCACCATAGTCCCTCACCCACCCCACCCCTAATTCTTCACGAGCTCATCACCACCATAGTCCACTCTTCTAGTCCCTCGCCACGAATTCCTCACTCACTCAAGCCCTCCCTGCCTACCCCCATGCCCCAGTCCCTCGCTAACGCCCTCCTCAGCCCACCACCATCATAATCACCTGGGTCTGGCTTCCCTCCACCCTCGGGCGTGTGTGCACGCCTCTTCACTCTCGTCACCCTCTCCCATTCTCCCCCTCTTCTCTCTCCCCTTCTCCCCCCGTGCCTGTGCCGTTCTCCGTTTCTCCAGGACCCACGCTCCCTGCCATCCTCCCATCCCCCCCTCGCCTCCTTCCCCTCTCTCCTCCTTCCCCTCTCTCCTCCTTCCCCTCTCGCCTCCTTCCCTTCTCTCCTCCTTCCTCTCTCTCCTCCTTCCCCTCTCTCCTCCTCGCTACTGCTCGGCACCTCCCGCTGTGCGCTCCGCCCTGATCCGTGCTACGCGTGACGCCTCATCCTCATCACATCCTCAGCAGAGCCTCATCACATCCTCAGCAGAGCCTCATCACATCCTCTGCAGAGCCTCATCACATCCTCGGCAGAGCCTCATCACGTCCTCGGCAGAGACTCATCACGTCCTCAGCAGAGCCTCATCACATCCTCAGCAGAGCCTCATCACATCCTCATCACAACCTCATCGTACCCCCCTCCCGGCACCTCCGATTAGCACGTTTGGCTACGTACGGTGCAAGAGAAGTTCAACATACTGTACATACTCATCATCATCCTCAGCATTAATAATAATAAGGACCACGAGTTCAAATCTGGTCCAGGGTGGACTAAAACAGCATCTTCGTATCTCCGATGTTGATGTAAAGCAAACGAACTATAATTCTAATGAGCCAGATGATTGTTGTCAGGAGTAGCGAGCGGAGTGTTGAATCGCTGCGCTGATGACGCCTTCTTCCCCCCCAGTATTTGTGAACCTTGGCGATGTTCGTGAGGTCGTTTCATCTTCCACGGTTCCTGTTCTGGCTGGTGATCACATTAGCCGCACAACTGACCGAGACTTATATTTTTGTAATGTTCAATATGTGCATCATCATCCTCATCATTAAGTGTCCGCATCATCCGTTGCCATGGTTTGTTTGCGGATGCGGTTTTAGGGGATTGATTGTGGTCCCATCATAATCTTTCGCGAAAGATCGAATCCGGAGCCTCTTCTGCGTCGGGTCTCTCGCGAGTTTGCGACTCCGCGTGTGTGAGTCGCTCAAATCAACTCGGACGTATTGAGGTCGCGTCGCGCGGGGTGGGATATCAATCAACACGGTTTTAAAACATGTAGTTCCCTGCTCAAAATAACTTGATCTACCGAGGTCGCAACGCCCGTGCCTCCAAAAGATGCATTGTTAATCCGCCTCGACGGCTATTTCCATCTTCTGGTCAAATAATGGATAATAATCAGCGATTGTTCCCCAGACTGCATGAGAAACGTGTAATTTCAAACCAGCAGTGGCCGCGTGGCGCAATGTGGACACGAAGCGAATGCTGTTGTTAATTGATCCGAGTCCTCTGCACTGCGGATGAGTCAATGAGATTCATGTTTTTTCAAAGAGTGCTCAGAAACGGCTCTGAAATTCTGCGATCATTGTTATCGAGTTGTGTTGGTCTGTAGCCGAGGTAGGGTTTCGGTTGAGGCGAGGTTTTCATTGTAATGACCAAAGCAGATGCCCGCCACTCGCGCGTGACTCACTGGCGCCTTGCTGCCAGAGCAGCGATGGTGCTTTGGGCGTGGTGCAGAATACAGCTCTGCTGAGCAGCCCTCGGTGATAATAAACGTGGCCACCACCCCACAGGGCTGGGCGTAGTTGGTGTGTCCAGCAGGGAAGAAAGGTGGAGGGGGGGGGGCAGCATTTCTATACCAGGGGTTGGCAACCTAAATAACAATCAATAAGTGACATTTTCTTCGAATTGGGTAAAAAATAAAACTAAATATTTCGAGGGCCACAGTGCGTGTGAATACGAGACGGTAACTTAATGAAAAATGTCAAACCATATATATTTTTTTATCACTATTTTAAGAACAGCACATGGCGCACTCATTGGTAATGCCACATTACAAATCATTGTTGGGCTTGTGAGACGTTCACCGTTTATTGAAAATAATTAGGAGGGGTTTTTTTTACTTTGAAATAATAGTTTTGGGAGCCACGCAGTAGTCCTTGAAGAGCCGCAGGTTTGCTGACCCCTGATCTATTCTGAACACACCTTACAGATGTTAGCCCAGTGGTCCGTGTAGAGCCGGTATCCATGAGGTTGTCGATGGTTGTCGTCTCCATTATTATGTAATTTCATCTCGGCTGTGTGCTACCGCTGTGGGAAGTTTCAAGTTAGTTTTGTTTAACCAGATGAGAACTCAAGGGACGAAGATGAGTCTCATTTGCAAGAGCGACCTGGATCACATGCAGAATGATTGACATGATATACCAGTCGACATGGAGAGACTGGGAATGTGGACTTTCCACCACTGACTCAAGGCCACCAATGTTGCATCCCAGCAAATTGTCGTACTCAAATTGTGAATGTTGTGGGTTGACTCTCCAACACACCGGTGTGCTGCAGTAGTAACTAATTAGCACGTTTTGTTCACGTGACAAATCTTGACTTAAAGCTTTCGTGACTGCAGGAATTCATGTTCTTGGGTCATTCGGTATGAATGGATATATGTGTGTGGTCTGAATGGATATATATCCAGACCACACAATCCGTAAAGCTATCACCCCAACCGTTGGAAAGAAACCATCTGAGGACCCAATCAAAACCATCACCTTGCCATACATTGCAGGGGGCACTAAAAATATTTCCAAAATCATGAGCAAACACAAAATCCAGGTTCGTAGGCTGTGTCTGCGGCAGTAGTTACATTGGGGAAACTAAGCGATATGTCTTGGACCTTGTTCGTGAACATAAGGCACATCTGAAACACGGTAGGACCAATACCTCGGCCATGGCTGATCATTGTTTTAATGCGGTGGGCTCACACGAAATGTATTTCTCGAAGACGAAGGTACTTTGCAAGCCCACTGGCTATCAACAAAGATTAGTTCATGAAGCCATCCATTTGTATAGACACAGATGCAATTTAAACCGAGAAGATGGGTACAAATTGAGCAATCATTGGAAGGACGTTATTAACCAGTTTAAGTCATAACCAGCTGTGATGTTTCCATCCCACCTTCCGATGTTAGTAGTTATTTTCGACTGTCTCGTTTGACATTAACAGGTTAAATGTCTCACTAACACAGCCACCGTTGCTCGTTTTCCTCGATGTGGCGGTGGCTCTGCGATCTCACATTGACGTGCTAATCTCTCACAATACAATGGCCACCCCCGCAGCTTCGTCGTCATGGAGGTAGCTCTCCGATCTTACATTTACATGCAAATGTATCACTTTAACATCACTAGCCCCGCCCACTTCGCTTATGACCCTTGGGCTACACCCATTTCAAACCTGACTCAGCAGCTTTCCCGCTATTTCTTTCTCGCCTGATGACGAATGCTTGTGTTGCGATCGAAACGTCGTAGTTTTTTTTGTTATTTTCTTTGAACCTATCTACGTGACTTTACCGAAAGACCCAAGAATGTGACAAATCTTGCTAGTTGGCTGTCGGTGGGTTAACGAAACATTTACACAGTCTAACCCAACAACCTTTTATGATGAATAATATTGGTCGCGAAAGCCTGCATGTTCAACGGAATATAGAAATGTTGACTGTTACATCTAGATTGTGCCATCAGTCTAAGGAAGGCGAACTTGGATGATTTTTTTCGCATCGGCATTATTTATTAACGTAAACAACGTAAAAAAACTAATTTCATGAAGATAATGTACTACACAGTCACAAGTTATACTTATGCGAGTTATCAGCTGGCTTTCACCTTGTTTAAATACATCATACTTGGGTTTTTATCATGCACCCTTCTCGGATTGTTTTTTAAAGGTTATAATACTAATGATAATAACGTGACTCGATGTAAGAAAATGCTGGAAATTGCTGACAAGGCTGTAAAGGCGAATCGTAGTTTTGATGCTTCTCTGACTTTTGTTTAGTGCAGTACAGTACGTGGGAGGAATACAGTGCCCGGACAATTGTCAATCATACGAGAAAACCTCCCCCCCCCCCCATACATAACAAAATAAATAAGCAGATTTGACATGTCCGTCTTTCACAGCCTTCCGGGAGTGCAGGATTTCAGCAGCATTAATTAAGTTTAAGCAAACTCTGGACCTGTTTGAACATGCCATGTCTCATCAGCAGTGCCAGGCTCGCTTGCATCAATGCTGGAGAACTGCCCGATGTGAAAGGCAGAGACCTCCCTCTCTTTACGATGTGGGTCCAAATTGGATACAAATGTCATAATCCATAACTCATTCTGATCATTAGCATCGTTGTGGAAACCTGCTTTCTGTGCTGCCCCCAACAAGCATTTCATTACTCTTTGGTTCTTTCAGTAAAGTCACGTAGGTATAAAATAAAATAAATCACGTTTCGGGCGCAACACAAGCGTCCGTCATCAGGTGGGAAAGCCTTGGTCTGCTGCTGAGGCAGACTGTTTTTAAAGGTTCGAAATGGGTGTAGGCCAAGGGGCA